ATGATTAGATATTATTTAAATGATGCCCAAACAAAGTTATTTAAACAACTTTTAACTTAATTAATCCCGTTCACTAGACCTTACTTTGTGGAGTAATGATAAGTTGTCATATTATTTATGCAATTATTGAATGTGAAATTGGATTATTACAACATTCATGGATTAGATCTTTTGACCTTTGTATTAAAGTAATGCAAATTGGGATTTTTTTTAATTTTTTAGTAAATTTAAAAGTCATATAATTTGGTATAGTGATTGTAATGTAGTAGGCAAGTTTTGAATGAATCATTACATTCGACATCATAGTCCCACTTGGATTAGTTGTCAACAATCAATACTAGAAAATAATTATCAAGTTGATGGGGATATGGGATTGGATTTGGAGCCTTGTTGCAAAATTTAACTAATTAAAAGGGTATAAGTTGTAAATAAAGTAAAACAAAGAATTAAAGATAGAGAATATGACTTTTCAATTTGCCCCTTTATTCAAAAATTATTCGTGATAACCAGAAAGTTTCGTCCACAAAAAAATAAAATATAAGTATAATGAAAATGAAAAATATGTTATGTTGTTCCATCTAAATGTTTCTTTGATTGTCTTTTCACTTAATATTGAAATGTGAACATAAGATCTTGTTTGCAATTGAAATGGTTTTAACAGACTACACTTCAAAATGACGTCACAATTGACAAGACGCCTTCTCATTTGCCAATAAGAATTTACAGGTCGAAGTGTAAAAACAATAAAATTAATGGAAAGACAATCAAAGACTTAAGGACCTCAACCTTTGCCACATTTTAATTGTACTAAACGGCCTCAACTTTTGCAGTACATTTTAATTGTACTTAAGGACCTCAACCTTCGCTCTTTGTAACATCTATGTTCCAATTTTTTCTTTGAATCTTAATTTTCAACCTTCCACTAATTAGAAGATATCATCTTTGATGATGACATTTTGTTTGTGCTTTGAAATTATAGAGAAATATTTTATCGCAATTTAGCATTTATTATTTTTTTTAAGAAAAATATGATGAAAAAAACGTCATTTCACAGCTTCCCAATGGAGGTTTGGGTCGGAAACCATCATCAGAGATGATATATACTTATTAATGAAAAGTTGAAGATAATAAAATATTGGGAGAAAAAAAAAGCTAAGGACATAAATATTACAATGAGCAAAGATGAAGGACCTAAAATGTAATTAAAAGTTGATCCAACTAATTAAAGTTAGAGAGGTGTATTCAATTGGGATTTTTGAAAACTTTGATGGACTTTTTTTAAGTGATGACTTTTGAGAATTTCGTAGATCTTTTAAAGATTTATATGGAATTAATGGAAGTCTTTCGTAGACTTCTATGGATTTTCATTTTAAAATTTTATAGACTTTTGTGGAATTCAAAAGACTTTTGAAAGCTTTCATTTGAAATAGAATTCACGTGGATTTGGTGTGAGATTCTCAATGTTAGTTCCCATAATTCCCTTTTTCCTTCTCCTTCTTCTCATATAATTAAAAAAAAATTGAAAAAATAAAAATTTAAGACTTTAATTAAATAATTAATAATCAAAATTATATGTATATATATAGTATACTTTTAAAAATAAATAAAAATTAATATATTTAAATTTAATTATAATTTAATAAAAAATAGGTATTTTTCACAAAAAAAAATGAATGAAAAAGGAAAAAAAAGTTACAAGAATCCAATTTAATTTTTTTCCAGAGAAAGTAGAGATAAATAATAAGAGAGAGAAAGAAAAATAAATGGAATATAAAAAATAAATTTTAATTATACATATCCATAGAAGATTAAAGGAAAGAAAGATTGAAAAAAAAGTTCTTTTTTTTTTGTGAAAGTCTCCCAAAATCTCGTGATTAATGAGAGACAAATTTTAAAATATTATATGAGTACTTTCTGCTTAAAAGTTAGTACGTCAGAAACTTTTATAAAAATCTCTAAAAGTCATTAAAATTTGAATACCCAAAGACTTATAGAGACTTCTAAAAAGTTTTAATTGAATACACCGTAACTTTTAGAGAGTTTCAAAAAGTCTCAATTGAATATCCCTAAACTTTTTTAATCCCAAAAAGTCATTAAAAGTCTCAATTGAATACACCCCTCTTAGTGTGATATTTTTCGGTTTGATGAGGGATCTAAATCAGCATTTCTTATTTTCCTTTAATAGCCAATGATGTACTTATTTTCATACATTTGGATGTGTTTGTATAAGTTGATGTGTAGCTAATTTTTATTGTTAGGAGGATCGATGTATTATAGTTTGGATAATTTGACTTTTCTTATTATATTTTGACTTTTAATTAATGTCACACTTTATCATTGTTGTGTTATGCATTTCATGAATTTGGCCAATTTATGGTTTATTTGAGAATTCATGTAGATACTGTGAAATGCCAAATTAGCTCTTGCTATAAAGTCATGATTTTTGGAAAATGTAGATAATATTTCTTTAAATTGTGCAAACTTATTTTTGAGTTTCTTCGTGATTTAATGTGTCTTTTTATATCGTAATTCATTAAGAATTACATTGAATTCACATATGAGATATATGATTAATTCTACCCAAGAAAGATTTTTGATTAAAATTGAGAAATTTGTTGGTGACATGAACAAAATTTGGGTCTTAATATGATATGTGAAGTTGAGTAGGACAAATTATGATAAAATCGTGATTCCTAGCATCATACTTCATCTATTCTTCTCGAAACAAATTAGTATACTACATTAATAAATTTTAATCATTAGTTTCATTAGTTAAAAATATTTTTTCTTAATTTGGTTGTTCAAATAAAGTTACAAAATTAAATTACGAACTCAGTAGAATGGTTTTTGAGAATTGATTTTTTGGCCGTTAGGAGAAAAGTGGGAGAAGAAATCAAATATAACGGCTGAAATAGTGAAATAACTGTCAAAAAATCACTCCCAAACAATCTGTATATATTATTTGTTGTGATTGGAACAATAATGAAATTCAATGAATATTAAGAAAGATTGATAATTATGTGTGCCTTGTATATAAATTTCTATTAATTTTGAGCTGAGTTTATTGGATATTTTCGAAGTGCAAAGTTTTAGGGATGACAACGAAGCGAGTATGGGACAGGTCGGCCACTCCCACTCATGTTCCATCGGATATTTTGTTACCCCATACCCATACCCGGTTAAAGCGAGACAGGACGGGTTTGGGGTGGGATCGGGTCGGGACGGGTTGCCCCATTTATTTATATTTCCTTTTATTTTTATTTTTTTGCTTTTATTTTTTATGTCTTTAGTTAGTAAACAGTATTTCTTTTTGACCGATTTCTTAAAAATAACTTATTCTCTTTAAAAATGATGATAAATCTATTATTTTAAAATATATTATTTTAACTTAAATTTGAAATTAATATTAAACGAGGCGGGTAATGGGGCGGGGACTATGTTTCCCACACCCATTTCATACCCGTTTCGGGACAATGACCCTCATTCCATACTCATCCCATGTACCCGGTTAGTACCCGCCTCATTTGGGATGGTGCCCCACGAGTATCGGGTTGAACGGTTTTTTTTTTGTCATCCCTACAAAGTTTGTACAATTCGTGCCAAGTTTGGAAAAAATTCACGAAAAGTTTGTGCAGACTTGGAGTAATTTTTCCTAATACATATGCACTTGGAGAGAACCATACATTTTGTTTCTAAACCGTAGGGAGGATGAGCTCATTAACGTTTGTAATGGCACGTCCTTATTTACCGTTAGTCCTATAGTTTTTTTTGAATTTCTTTGGGCTTTTGCTACTTGCATTCTAGACTTCTAGTCTAACTTTAGAAGCTATACTGCATCTGCGTATTGTCTTATATTTAAAGTGTGTCTTTCGTGACAAACTTTTAAGTTAGATTTAAAATTTTCATATTTTTTTCTAATTGCTAACTCATCAATAAAGTACTCGATCTTTAAAAAGTAGTTAGAATATATATTTGAAGTGACGTGGATTAAAATATCCTTCATTTATGGTATTTCTCTACTCCATTCCATACAAATCTTCAGAAGTCTTGTCGCCACAAACTAATTAATCTTGCTGGTCTTTGTATTGAAGTTAAGCATGATTGTAATCCTCGCAACTTCCCTCTAGACCTAACTTCTACCTAACAATAACCACACAACTCCATTGATGCTCAAACTCGTCAACAAGCAAATGAGAAAATTAGGTTTTTATACACTCACGAAACGCTAATTTAAAATCATTGACCGGATAGTGAAATAAATGCAAATTAGCATGAAAGTTATGCATGAACGTAATTTTCAAGCTTCCATTTAAACTTAGCTTCTACCGAAACTCCACAATCAGTCGTCCCTCACTTGCGAACCACACTAAAATTTATCATTAAGAATATTAAGTTCACTATGGGTACTTTATAATGATATCAAGAACATTTCCTAAATTTCAAGAATTGTAATCAAAATCACTGGCAAAATAAACTAGTTAAATGCTTCGACCGCAAAATTTTCTCTCCTTTTTTTTTTTTTTTTATTTGTGTCTCATCCATCCTTGAATATTTCCCTAGGCCAATCTATATACTCGTGGAACGCTAATATATAACCACTGATGAGATAGTATGAAATGAAATCCAGTATAGTGCAAGACAATTACTTGGTTATCTAAAAATGGACATCTATCACGTTACTCTTAATTTTCTTCATAACGACCAGAAGAAATATATAAATGGAAATAGTTCCTTTCAAGCCATGTAATTTTTCAATAAATACTTGCTTTGGTTTGTATCTTTTGAAAGTTAAGGTTATAAGAGAGGATTTTTTAAGGGGCTGCACATTAATTTGTAGTTTCGAAAAATAAATAGAAACAGGGAGAGGATTTTTTAAGGGATATGAAATTTTGGTTCATTGCATGTATCCCAAACTCTTGTAATAATTATGAATAAAGAAAGAGGAAAGTGACCCCACCTTGAAAACGAAAGATATGCACAAGATATAGATCTCTCACCCACATATTTTTTCATATTCTTGCAGTATAGCGTCAACCCACCGCACTTTTCTCTCCCCTTTTTTTGCCCTATTCTTGATAGGGTTCCCAAATGATTTCTTGCCTTTGATTTTTCTCTGATGCTTTCTGTTCTTTTTCTGATCTTGCTGATCGTCTTCTTCTTGCTTGATTTGGTAATTTTTGCTCTCCTCAGAGGGTTTTTTGGGCTTCTCCGCTTTAGATTTAACTTCCCTTGGATTTTCACACTGTTCCCATGTCTAAAGTCCTCAATTTCAGTGGTAAGATCTCTAATCTTTTCTGGGTTTATATGGATGAAAATATTTCAACTCATTGAATATAGGGACGTGATCTAAATTGTTATCGTGATTTCTGCTGGAACCTATTTTTTAATCTTTTTATGTCTTTGATTTGGTTAAATCTTGTATTCTCATGAAATACATATATCTGTACACTTGCATAAATGGCCAGGCTTATAATCTTTGTAGAGTGATTTTATTATCTCAAAATTTTTATGTGTTTCTCTTGAAAAAAGATTTATCAATTTAGGTTTTTGTGCCTTTGTTTGATTAAAACTTGTTATGGTCTGGGAAATATCTGAGTGTAATTATGCTTACCGTCTTTGATTGCGGTGGTATGATTTCAATTTATATCTGGATCTTTCTTAAAGTATGGCTTTAGACTTACAGGTCTTTTCTTGTGCCTTATTTTTAATGTTGTTTCAATATTTTTCAATATTTTTATTTATGTCTATATAGATGCTTAAAATATTGAATAGTGGTATCAATCTCAAATAATTGATGAGTTAGTTACCTATGAAAAGATAGAAGTGAAACTGTTGCTTAAAAAATTATCAACAACCAAGGTGTTTGTTATGATCTAGACCAGGTCTGAAACTAGTTTGTTGCGAAAAGTGGAAGATGATACAGGATTAATTCAAGACCACTTTGTTGGAGAAAATAAGAGATTAAGCCACAATTTGAAGTAATTAATAGCAGGCAAAAGAATAATAAAAGACTAGAAAATATTGCAGAGGAGTTCGGTGAATTTCTTTATAATAATAATAATATGGAGAAAAATACAGTGATTTTTTGTAATCACTATCAATTGTTGAGGGTAGTATGTTAATTGTGGCTGCTCATAAAAAATTATGGACTATTACTTCTTTTAAGTGTAATATTTTCATAGATATATATGACGAGGATAGTAAAATTATATGTTGGTGGTAACGTATAGTTACTTGATGTGCAACACATCTGAGTCCTGCATACTCTAAAGGGAATGTAAAAATTCAGGTTATCTGAAAATTGTCAGATTTTTTATTAAAACCTATAAATGTTGGCTGATGTTGGTTTCCACATCTCTGATTTCAGGAGATGATGATTTATTCCCTGGGGGGTTTCTATTCCCGAATTCTAAGGAGCCGAGTCTCTATTTGTCCCTAGGTCATCATGTGGACATGTATGTTCCTCCTCGTAAGAGATCTCGTGTCACTGCCCCGTTCATTGTCTGTAGAGAGCAAAAGCAACAGCCATCCATTGAAGTTCTACCTGACGAATGCCTCTTTGAGGTGTTCAGACGCCTTCCTGGAGGCCAAGAGAGGAGTGCCTGTGCAGGTGTCTCCAAGCGTTGGCTTATGCTTCTAAGTAGCATTCAGAGGGATGAAATATGCAATGAAACCACTCGATCTGTTGAGCCTGAGAACAGATCTAATATTAAGAAGGCTGATGAGTCCGTGAAGTCAAAAGACAAGGGTGGGTTTGTTGATTCGAATGGAATCAGAGCTGAAGTTGAGGAGGACTCGGAGACAGGTGTTGATGGATATCTTTCTAGATGCCTGGAAGGTAAGAAAGCTACTGATGTGAGGTTGGCTGCCATTGCTGTTGGAACTGGAAGCCGTGGAGGTTTGGGCAAGCTATCCATCCGAGAAAGCAGTTCTACTCGTGGATTGACAGATTTTGGCCTCAAGGCCATTGCTCGTGGTTGCCCTTCTTTGAGAGAGCTTTCGATTTGGCACTCATCATCAATTGGTGATGAAGGGCTACTTGAGATTGCAAATGGCTGTCATCTGCTGGAGAAGCTTGACCTATGCCATTGCTCAGCAGTTACAGACAAGTGTTTGCTTGCTATTGCAAAGAACTGTCCCAATCTGGCGTCAGTTACAATAGAATCTTGTTCAAACATTGGAAATGAAAGCCTGCAAACTTTGGGACGTAGCTGCCACAACCTGAAATCCGTTACTGTTAAACATTGTCCTCTTGTTGGGGACCAAGGAATTGCAGGTCTATTTTCGTCAGCCGGTAATGTTGTGACAAAGGTGAAGCTTCAGGCACTTAACATCAGTGATGTGTCTCTTGCTGTAATTGGACACTATGGCAGTGCATTGACTGACCTTGCACTTATTGGCCTCCAAAATGTGAACGAGAGGGGCTTCTGGGCCATGGCTAGTGGTCAAAGTTTGCAGAAGCTGAAGTCTTTGGCAATAACCACTTGTCGAGGAGTCTCTGATTTAGGGCTTGAAGCTATTGGAAAAGGTTGCCCGAATCTGCATCAGGTTTGCCTCAGAAGATGTCCACTTGTATCAGACAAAGGATTAATTTCGTTTGCCAAAGCTGCTGGGTCACTTGAAAATCTTCAATTGGAGGAATGCCACAGGATTACCCACTCTGGAGTTTTTGGCATCTTTGCAAACTGTGGTGGAAAATTGAAGGCTCTTGCCTTGGCCAATTGCTTTGGAATTCAGAACATGAACTTTCTATTTCCATTGACATTTCTTTGCTATTCACTGCGATCACTGACCATCTGCAACTGCCCTGGATTTGGTAATGCTAGCTTGGCCATGGTTGGTAAACTGTGCCCCTACCTGACTCATGTTGATTTCATTGGGCTTCAGGGAATAACTGATGCTGGGCTTCTATCATTTGTTCAGAGCTCTGAAGCTGGTTTGATGAAGGTAAATCTTAGTGGCTGTGTCAATTTGACCGACAATGTTGTTGCAACCATTTCCAAGCTGCATGGGAGCACTCTCGAGGTTCTGAATCTTGAAGGCTGCAGATTCATCACTGATGCAAGCCTGGTGACGGTTGCAAGGGATTGCTGGCAGCTGAATGAACTTGATGTTTCTAGTTGTGGAATTACTGATTCTGGCATTGCTGTCTTGGCTGGTGCCAAGCAGCTGAATCTGCAGATACTTTCCCTGGCAGGTTGCTCTTTGGTATCTGACAAATCTGCACCCCTGTTGGTGGTTATGGGCAAGACATTGATGGGGTTGAACCTCCAGCATTGCCATGGAATCAGCTCTGGTGCTGTTGATCTGCTTGTTGAGCAACTTTGGAGGTGTGATATACTCTCCTAAAGCAGCTGACAGTTGAAAAGGCCCCTTGAAGCAACAGATAGCGTGGTACATCGCAAGTTTTCACAACTTCAGTATAGCTCTTGGTTTTTTTTTCAGCGTGTTGTTTTTGGGTCCATAACCATGGGTCTTCATGTGGTTCAGTGTTCCAGTCCTTTTTTTCCAGCGAGGTGTGGCCAGTTTCTCTCTTCTTTTTTTTCAGCTTTCTTTCCATTAGAAAGCTATTCCAAGAAGTTTTCCCCTTGGTAAAGGGAGCCATTCTGCATAATTGTCACACTTAGCTGAGAATATAGACATTGGGTACTGGATTCTTAGATACTTCTAATGGTGCTACTATTATGTTTTCAGCTTCTGGCCTAGCGGTTACTTCCAACTTGCTCGGTCAAAGCTTGTTACTTCGTCTATTCCTTAGTCTTTTGGGTTGGGTCACTGTGTTTACCAAGTCTTCCATGTCGCTTAAAGCATACATGATGGTTGGGTTTGATTCCGTCGTTCAGTCTGTGTTTGCGGTTGCTTTTGGCAGTCGTAGGTTTGTAACCTTGCTTTTGTGGGCTTTGTCCGTGGCAGAGTTGTTTAGTCTGCCATGACAACCTTTTTGGGTTGTTTTTTCTTAACAAAGCCCTAGTTTTGCAGGTTCTTTTGTTACGAACTGCCCCGAGCAACCTTCTTGTTATGTAATACTCCATGAAAATGGTTACTTTGTTGTGAATAAAAAGGCTTTTCAGAAGCTTTATTATGTATCGTGAATGTGTGCTTACTCTTGTAGTCTTGAGCTTCTCCTTGATTCCAGTAATTTGAGCTCGTGCTTTTGTGTTTTAATTTGCTAAGACTTGTCAATTTCCAACTTAAAAGTGGGGCTGATTTGATGTGTCTTGCATTGGTTGCTATGAAATGGATTTTGAAAAATCAAAAGGAGCTTTTGAGACTCAAAAGTTGCTTTTGGATCCATTTGGTTAATTTTATTTAATGTTTCTTTTAGTTAGAAGACCTTTTAGAGAAAGTTGGTTTAAATGTGAATTCCTCTAAAATCACTATTGAAAGAAGCTTTTTTAAAAAATAATTTTAAGATAAAAATTAAAGTAACGACATACCAAACCTTCAATGCTCTTGAAGCATTTCTTGTTGGATGAATTGAGACTACTCGAACTCTTGAGCATATTTCGTGAAGATGTCAGTAAGTTCTTGAGCTTCAACAGCAGGACCATCATCTGCCCATTATCACTCTTGCTCGAGCGGATACTTGTCCCTGCCTCCTGTATTCGCATGGCAGATGCAGCTTCACTTGTTACCTCAAATTTGTTATTCTGCAGAGAGGCAGCTTCATATTTTCCCCGCTATTTTCTTTCCTTGCACTGGATAAGTTGGTTTTCTCATAAGGCAACTTAGGAAGAGACTTCTATGTACTTAAGGACCATCGACAGCCTATTTCATCATAAAGTTAAAAGGAAAAATATATAATACTACACTTAATTATCAGAGGGAAAGAGTAGGAAACAGTTCGGTCAATATCTGTTGTGGGCGTTAGAACATTGAGAGGACTTTTTAAGTTTCACCCAAACTTCATCCTGGTCATGGATAGATCACCAACTAGCACAATTCACAGAATTAGAAGCCTTTGCACAATTATCTTTGCATGCCTCCGTTACCTTTTGGGAGGCCTACGCCCCGGATATTTCAAGAGTTTTCAGAGCTTCCTATGACCCAGCCCCTTCTTCTTTGAAGAAACCCCCCACTTGTAATAAACTTTAACAGGATAGAATGAGGAAAGAGAGATTTCTTCAGCACTATAATAAGTGCTTACAATTCTGTTCTCTCTGAAATCAGGAAATTACGGTTCATAATCTCCATGGAAGTAAGTTATCACAAATACATAAAGACTCAATGAGAAATATTATGATATAAATAAAATAATCTAAAATTCAGAAATTTCACCGATGATGCCTGTTGGCAAAATCTGCAAAAACTGTCACTTAGTGTTGTAGAGCTCTATCTAGAAAAGGTAATTTTTCATTAGGGGGAAAGAATATACCGAAGTCCTTTCGACTGTGCATAGTTCATGAAGATGATGTTGCATCAGGTTGTCCAGGCTGCGGCTTGAAATTGATGAAGAACTACATTAAAGACTACTCAATAAAGAGGATAGTTTATAGTGATTTAAAAATAAAATACTATTAACATCCAAATACACATCAGTTTTGTCTTAGAAAAATGAGCATTCCATTGAGCAAATGGTGCTTCTGATATGATTTCAGAAGATTGCCTCTCATTGAATAATCTGCTCTTTATTCTCTAGCAGAAGGCTGTTTTGGGTGTGATCTTGAAGCAATGGTACCATTTGAAAGCTCAGGAGATTTAGGCACATCTTTCCCATCTTTGATCTTGCTAATGCCTGTTGTAGCATCATGCAGGGGATTAAAGGGTTCCCATTCTTGACCTTACTAATACCCTTCTGAGCTTTGGATTACTCGGGCTCCTTAACTCCAATTTCTGAAATTAAATCAACTAAGAAATGCTGCAGTTTAAGAAAAGGTTGGTCGAAGCTACTAGAAGTCTCAACTAGGGGTGGGCAGGGGTTGGGATGGGACGGTATTTTATCCAACCCATACTCAACCCAACTTGGTCAGTTTGATTTTATTTCCAATCCAATTATTAGTTTAAACACAACCAAAACAGAACAAGTTTGGGTCGAGTCGGGTCGGGTTGGACTTGGACACAATTTAAGTTGGATTTGATTACTTTTTTATCGAATCTAGACAATTTTTTAAAGTTTGAAATTACTTGAAAGTCAGTGTTTTAAACATATATTAGGAATTTTATTTCTAAAAAATAATATATAAATACATTTGAAATTATGAAGTATTTTCTTTTTTTTACAATTATATGAAATTCATTCATTTTATCATCATATCCTTAATTTTTTGGTTATCGTCAAATAACTGCGCATTTGTACATAGTATTCATACCAATCAGTTTATGTAAAAGAAAATGGACGTTTGTAAATTATTAGTCGTTTATTGTCCTTACTCTACTTATGTTTTTTCATTTTATATATATATATATATATATTTTTTTTTTTTTTTTTTTTTTTTTTTTTTTTTTTTTTTTTTTTTTTTTTTTTTTTTTTTTTTTTTTTTTTTTTTTTTTTTTTTTTTTTTTTTTTTTTTTTTTTTTTTAATTTTTTTTTTTCATGAGGTTCGGTTGGATTGGACGGTTAAATTAATAACCCAAGACCCAACCTCAAATTTGATTTTTCAACTCAACCCAATTGAATTTAAAAACCAACCCAAACTGTGCAATTCGGATAGGGTTGAGCGGTTTTGGTTACATTTTATCCAGCCCCGTCTCAACCAGGTAAGAAATTTCAAATATCTCACCTTGGGAGCAATTAAAGAATTGCTTTCCGATGGCGTCGTAGGATTAAATGCAATTCTTCGGCAAAAGAGCCAAGGGTATCATCATTTGACCTCACACCTATCAATATTCTCGCTTAATCCTTTCTGCTTTCAAGCTGCCAATGTGAATCCCATTAACTTTCTCAGAGATAGATTCTTTTCCAGTGGTAGGGAGTGGAAATTGCTGCTGGATACCATTGTCAAACTCCATCCCATGTCCAGAAATGCGAGCTGTTGACATTCAAAATCTAAGTAGTCAATTTTGATCAACTTAATTGGGAATATTTATTAAATCTTTATTGAAAGTAATGTAGTTCAAAAGAGGAAGGTGGATCTAGTTGTGGTCCATGAAGGGAACCATTTCTCTCTATTTGTAGATGAATTTAGGAGGTTGGCTGCCATAGTCATGTCATCTATTGGGATTTTCTTAGAAGGTGTGCCAAATAATTCAATTGGGAAGGTTTCCGATTGGACGAAGTGGTCAGCTTCCTACTGCTCATCATGATGTCTAGGATAATTTTCACCATTGCTAATCTTTGATTGGTTGGCCATGAGGTGAAAACGTCGTCTATACCACGTGTCTTTACGGAATTGGTCAAAACAGACGTGATGACATCATCTTAATCAAATCAGTAATCAAGATATCCTCTCAATCACGGTGAAATTTATCGAGCTGTCTGTTGGTGCCATGGAGTTGCAACATTAGTTTTTGCTTAAGGACTTTCATCAGGGACGAAATCTATAAATAACTTTAAATTAGGGATCTAGTATCTACAGGAACAGTATTATTGGCATTCACAACTCAGTTGCTTTCAAAATCACAATACACATTACAAACCGAGCAAATAACAGTAAACTCTTGGAGTGTTCCTTTATTACCACAGAGATATCAATTTCCCCGCCTTTCTTATTAGCAGAACAAATAGGCCGTTCAGCCCACCGCATATATATAAAATTATACATTTCCTTATGATAGTCACATAACAAATTGACAAATTGAAATAGTAAAGTATACTATGAGGTATAAATGAAAAAGTTTATCTTCACCAACAAATCTCTAATTAATGTTACATATTGTATTATTGCACTAAACAGAAAAGAAAAGGCAGATCATTTGGCAAGAAAACACGCCTTCAAAGGAAAAAAACGTGAAATCACTGTTTCATATTGCAATTTTCAGTTTTTCCGACATGCAAACAGTAATGCATAGAGCCCGAGCATTCTGAAAACACCCAAGAAAGTGAAAAACAAATAGAACAATAGAATATACACTAACTTCAAAACCACCCGAAGGTTCAATTCCAGATACGGAAATCACTAAACCCGTTTCTAATTCACCATAAATACAGACAGTTCCATACGTATATCTTGACATTCATAACAAACAACTAACGACAACATTTTCCAGTACGCAACAAGACTTACCGAGAAAATCATAAGGCCATTAAAGTAAGAAATAAGTGAGAAGATTTGAGATACTCTTAAATGGGGTAAAAAAAACCCCAACCTTTGCCTCTATTTTTGAATACTTCTATTGTGTCAAATGTTGAGAATTTACTTAATTATGTACAGCGAAAAATAAAATAGATTTCAATTCTCACCGAAGATCTGCTTTGTGTTTAAATAGAAATTGTGATAAAAAAATTATACTTTTAATAAATTCCTTAAAGAACAATTCTGATTTGCAATCACAACTGTCCAATAGTCAAGTCTATCAAGAATATAATCGTATTGTGCTATGAATTTTCAAACCTTAATAGCCTAATAATAAAAGTTGAAGTGCCCTTACCCGGTCTCTGAAACTTAATTCAATCCAATATTAAATTAATTCATTTAATTAAATTTAGTCCATAAATTAATTAATTCAATTAATTAATCTGACCTAATTAACAAGCAATCTAATTAATGATTATCCAACATTTGTCAATTAATTAATTGGTAAATCTCATTCTTCTATTTCTCCTTTTATGTGTTACCCATTAGGCTCTCGATCATAATGCCTAACGACGTGAATTATTATTTGATCTAATCAAAATCGATAAATTAAAAGAGGTTTACGAAAAATTCACATTTTGGCGCCCCGCATTGAAATCTAGCAATGTGTCAAGGCAATACATGTGACAGAAAATATCAAGTTTCATAACAAAACCAAATTCATTCGTTTATCGTGAAATTATAATCCCTTAGTTAATATGATCTGATCAATTACAAGATATGAACTGTACCAATCTCGATTATCAATCATATATTTCATCCCACTACTAAGTCAATGCAAATTGAAGACCATTTTTGACTTATTAGTACGCCTTGACCAATGATTCTCAATTATCCAATTAATTTTTTTTAATGG